TACCAAGTTAATTTTTAACTTCATTCTTATATTGAATGAAAGTTTCCAAAGCGTCATCCTTTGTTCGAATTAAATAAACATAACTATATCTAGTATAGTCATCTATAAAAGTGATAAAATATTTTTTCCCACCTCTAGTTTGTATTGATTTAAAATTACGAATGTCACTATAAATTAATTCAAGTGGTTCTGTACTTCTTTCAATTGAATGAAAAGGAGTTTTGGATAATTTTGCCTCAACACAAATTTCATATTTATGATTTAAATCAATGTCAAATTTAGGTAAATATTCCATATTAATTAATCTATGCAAAGATCCATAATTAATATGTCCAAGTCTACCATGCCATAAATTTGAAGACTCAAGCAAGTAAGAAGAAAATATATTTGTATTAATAATAGAGGGTGCAAAAGTCATTATATTCATTTTGAAAAGGCCATCAAACATGTGACCTTTTCCTACATACATCCCATTTTTGGTAAGTACAAACTTGTCACTTTCAAAAACTAGCCTAAACCTATTTTTACTCAACAAAGATCCGAAAACAAGATTATGACGGATGTTCGGTACATGCAACACATTGTTGAGAGTGAGTTTCTTTTTAGATATCATTTTCAGAATAATCTTTCATTGTCCTTCAACTTTAGAAGTCGAGGAGTTGCCCATAAAAGTTATTCATTGTTGTCCACTATAGAATAAGATGTGAACATCTTTATGTCGGCACAACTATGGCGAGTAGCAGCAGTGTCCACCCACCATTCTTTAAGATTTCCGATAAGATTTGCCTCGGAAACAACTGCAAAAAGATTTATGTCATCAACACCATTGGAAATTTTGTCCACTTCGATCATATTGGCTTGAGCACGCTTCTTGCTTGATCTTCCTTTGTCTTTGCATTTGCTACGGTAATCTTTAGCCCTATGTCCCTCTTTGTCACAGATGTAACATTTGCCATTAAACTTGTACTTTTTAGTTTCCTCTCCTTTAGATCCTTGTGCGAAACTTTCTCCAGAAAACTTTTGTTTCTTTGCTTTTAGAGCATGTTCCACCACATTTGCCTTGGACTCCATTGAATGCTTACCAGCTCGCTTCTCTGAATTGTGGTTGTCCTCCTCAATCCTCAAATGCACAATTAATTCCTCCAAAGACATTTCTTTGCGCTTGTATTTGAGGTAGTTCTTGAATTCCTTCCAGCCTTGTGGTAATTTCTCAATTAAGGCTGCAACTTGGAAGGATTCACTGCAAGACATGCCTTCTGCGTGAATGTCATGCATAATGAGTTGGAGATCTTGAACTTGGTTGATCACAGTCTTAAAATCAACCATCACAAAGTCCAGGAATTTGCCAATCACAAATTTTTTTAAGCCAACATCTTCTATTTTGTACTTTTTTTCCAAAAACTCCTAAAGTTCCTTTGCCGTTTTGATAGGACTGTAGACGTTGTATAATGTGTTGTCAAGTCCATTCAAGATGTAGTTATGGTAAAGGAAATCAGCATGTTTCCAAGCATCGACTGCAGCAACCACTTGCTAGTCGGTTTCGTCCTCTTTTAGAGTAGAAGCATCCTCACGGAGGAAATGTGCCAGGTTGAGAGTAGTAAAATAAAACAGCATCTTTTGCTACCATCTTTTAAAATCAGTTCCTGAGAACTACTCTGACTTCTTACCGTGATTGACTAGCACAGTCACAACATGAGGGGCTGGAGCAATTGCAGGCACCACACTAGTACTCGTTTGAGCATTAGTTTGACCAGTTTCAGTAGTCATGACTTCTAAATTATAAAACAAAATTATAATTAAAATTTTATACTACACAAAAAATTTAAACCAAAGCCACATAATTAAATTCCGTAAAAATAAAAATAAAAACAAGATTTGTAAATTTTCAATTAACTTGAAAATAAAATAAAATTTTATTTAAACAAATTAATTCCACACAAAAAATTAAATTTCTGTAACATTTCATTAACTAAAATTCTTTAAATTAATGAACACTCAGAAATTATTTCTGAAAACCAAAAATTAATTTCTGACAAACTTCACAAATACATATTTTGAATTGTTAATGACACCAGTATATTACTACTAGTTGTCAAAGAAAATAAACAATATATTACTACTATTTTTTTTTTCCAACCATAATATTTCTTTGTAAAACCACAGAAAATAATATATGTAATAAGAAGAAAGAGAAAAGGAAACAAACAAAAAATTCTGTATAAACAGAATAATTCGAGGTTGTCTTAAGATTTTTGGAACAATTTTCTGTGTAAAATAAATAATTTGAAACCAAATAAAATAAATATAAATAAATCACTTACAAAATTTATTTTACCGAACCGAATAAAACTTTAAAAGATCAAGTCGAGTGTGTGACACTCTGTCCTTCAGACAGATTCACCCTGCTATGGTGCTTACGGATAAAAGGCGTCTATCTCCCAGGATACAATGATCATCACAAATTGTAGTAACACTCCAAACAATTTTTATGGCGAACAAAAATCTATGTTTTATACTCTCTAAATTTTTCTCTGAAACTAGAATGAAGAACAATGCAGTGAAAAAGCAAAACCCGGAAAGGGGCATATTTTTCTAGATGTTTTTGATCATAAAATCTGCTGGAACAGGCCTGGAATTTATAGACCCGAACAAGTCTGAATTTTAAACCGAACAAGTAGGTTTTGAATTCAACAGGTGCAGTAACTGTTAGAATAGATAACAGCTGGGCAATTTTTATCTATTTGAAACTGCTGGCAGGTTTGAATCTGTCTAGGCAGTTTAAATCTGTTCTGTGCAGAAACTATATCTGACTGGGCGTAACAGATTTGAAAAACAGTTTGGAAAGTTTAATATGTTTGGAAAAATTAGACTGGAGGAGGTAACATTGGACATGAAATTAAATTCAAGTTTGAATTAATTTCGTTAAGAATTTTGGAAAAAAATTCAAATAAATTTTCTCCAAAAAAATGATATTAGAACCGACCCGACCTCCGTACGGTCAGTCAGACAGACGACGGCGGCGGATCGCACGCGTGCGTGGTGGTTTGAGCCCAGGTTCAATTTGTCCATAACTCCTCCCTTCTACAAACTTGGAGTGCCCCTTGGGGCCCAACCCAAGTGTTGCCACCTAAAACTTATATACACACATAAGTCCTCTTAAGTTTTCAATGTGGGATAACCATTTCAAGGAAACCCACATTTTACTTCTTTAATAGTCCATTCCACGAACTTGAAAACGATGTCAAGTTCCCATTCACTCATAATTGGTTTTGACGAACCGTTTTCACCGTGTGACTTGTCATGCGGCAAGGAACACATCACCTCTTTGGACCCACCTCAAAAGACCTATAGACCCCACTCAAATTTGGGCTCAAAATAAGTCTATATAAACCAAATTGCCGACATATGTTTTACACAAAAGGTGTAAGTTTTCATGAAGGTGTCAGTTTTAGCAAATGTGTAGATTTTAACAAAGAAAGTATTTCACAAAAGGTGTAACTTTTCAAAAAATGAGTAAGTTTTTTCACAAAAGGTGTAAGTTTTCACAAAGGTGTAAATCTTAGGAAATAAAGTATTTCACAAAAGCTGTAACTTTTCAGAAAAGGTGTAAGTTTCCAGAAAATGTGTAACTTTTTTCACAAAAGGTACAAGTTTTCAGAAAATGTATAAGTTTTGACAAACGTGTAAGCTTTAACAAAGGTGTAAATTTTAGAAAATAAGGTATTTCACAAAAGGTGTAACTTTTCAGAAAAAAGTGTAAGTTTTTTCACAAAAAGGTGTAAGTTTCCAGAAAAGGTGTAAGTTTTAACAAAGGTGGAAATTTTAGAAAGAAAGTATTTCACAAAATGTGTAACTTTTCAGAAAATGTGTAAGTTTTTTCACAAAAAGGTGTAAGTTTTCAAAAAAGGTGTAACTTTTCAGAAAAGGTGGAAGTTTTTTCACAAAAAGGTGTAAGTTTTAACAAAGATGTAAATTGTAGGAAATAAAGTATTTCACAAAAGGTATAACTTTTTAGAAAAGTTGTAAGTTTTCACAAAGGTGTAAGTTTTAACAAATGTGTAAATTTTTGGAAAGAAAGTATTTCACAAAAGGTGTAATTTTTCAGAAAAGATGTAAGTTTTTTTCAGAAAAGGTGTAAGTTTTCACAAAATGTGTAAATTTTCACAAAGGCGTAAGTTTTAACAAAGGTGTAAATTTTAGGAAAGAAAGTATTTCATAAAAAGTGTAATTTTTCCGAAAATGTGTAAGTTTTTTCAGAAAGATGTGTAAGTTTCCACAAAAGGTGTAAGTTTTTTCACAAAAAGGTGTAAGTTTTCATAAAAGGTGTAAGTTTTGACAAATGTGTAAGTTTTAACAAAACTGTAAATTGTAGGAAAGAAAGCATTTCACAAAAGGTATAACTTTTCAGAAAATGTGTAAGTTTTTTTACAAAAATGTGTAAGTTTTCACAAAAGGTATAAATTTTCACAAAGAGTGTATTTCACAAAAGGTGCAAGTTTTCAGAAAATGTGTAAATTTTTTTATAAAGAGGGTCTTTCACAAAAGCGGTAAGTTTTCACAAAATGTGAAAGTTTTCACAAAAGGCGTAAATCATTTCACAACTTGCGTAATTGATTTTTCAAAAAATACGTAAGTGATTGAAAATACATGGAAATCTTCGGAGAACACTTTTATTTCACAAAATTACGTAATTTTCACAAAGTCACGTAAGTTATGTCACAAAACTCAAGGTAGTTTACACAAAATGAGATGTAAGTTTGTTTCTCAAATTTTTTAACAATAGAAAAATGTGTAAGTCACTACAACAAATTACACTTTTGGCGACCAAAAGGAATTTATTCTCCAAAAGTTACATTTTTGGCGACTAAAAAATTTATTAGGCGCCGTTAGTTCGTGGTTTAGCTACTATATTATTATAGTCAATATATATTCTTTATTGGCGACTAAAAAAGAATTTAGTCGTTACATATGATGTAAATAGGCGACTCAAAAAATTTTACATGGCGTAAGTCTAGTTTTTAGGATACTAATTCTTATTTTAGTCGTCGTATACAATTATTTGCCAATAAAAGAAAGTTAAGTCACCAAATAACAGGCTTATTTTTCAGTTAGTCTTTGCTAATCAAATAATTTTGTCGGCAAATATAAACTTTTGGTGACTAAAAAAATTTAGTCGTTGTATGTTCAATTTTTATCGACGACCAAAAAAAAAAATAGTAGCGAAATTATACTTTCGGCTACAAAAAATTAGTCATTATTGACTAATATTTCCCGACAAATAATAAAGGGTGAAAATTTTTATTATCGCACCCCTCTTCTCTGTTTCACACAAACACTTTCTTCTATGTTCTCTCTCATACACACATAGAACAGTCACCACCAAACCTCACCCTCGCTCACCACCCATCAATCAGTCGCCACCGTCGTACATTGCCACTATCACCGCCGCAAATCAGCACTGCCACTACCGCAAATCACAGGTTCTCTCTCCCCCCCCTCTCACTCTCGATCTTGGTCTCTCTCTATCGATCTCGGTTTCTTCTTTGTCGATCTCGGTCTCTCTATTTCTGTCGATCTCGGTCTCTCTCTCTGTTGATCTCTGTCTTTGTCTCTCTCTCAATTCCTATCGATCTCGGTCTCTCTCTCTCTCTGTCGATCTCTCTTTGTCTATTTCTATTGATCTCGGTCTCTCTATCTCTATCGATCTCAGACTCTCTTTCTCTCTCTCTCCTTTTCCCCAAATTGATGGTTAAATACTTTTATTTATGTTGAGAAATTCATATCTCAGTGTTCTATGAAATGTTAGAAAGTTAGATTTTGATTCAAGTCGCATGATAATCAAATTGTTGAGGGTTAATTATGATGACACATGAAATTGAGGCAAAGAATGTGAATCCAATTAAGGGCAATAATGTACCAGCAGACTGAGGAAGTTGAAGACTTGTTTCTAGTTTGAATTTGAATAACCACTCATAATTGAGAAAATGTATTTATTTTTGTTTTTGCTTTTAGATTCGGCAATGTGTTGACTGGGGAAATAGAGATGTGCCAACAAATTACGCAGCAAACTGGTGTTATAGTCGATCCAATATACACGTTAGCCGCTTGGGAATTAGCAATACAACTTCGCTAGAGTGAGTCAAAAGGCGGTGCGAAAGTGGCGATGCTTCACACCGGAGGTACAATGGGCTTGCTTGGGTTAGCACAGAGATACAAGAATTACTTTGACACTCTCAAAGGAACTATTGACTGAGAGCTTCAAATTATACATCAAAGGAATGAAATAAATGGAAATTCAAATATATTAAATTTATCCAGAGTTTTTTTAGCCTAATTGTTTATTGCCTTTTGTTTTCCTTTATGCTCTTTTAAACCCATCCAATGGTTTGTTATAAAAGTCTTTCCTTCAAATTTTAAGCTCTGTAAAATTGGAATTGTGGGTAAAATGTTTTTAGGTACGTACCATAGCAAACTCATATATCTTTCAAAGTATAAGACAACAGATGATGATGAATCTTAGGCCTATGCTTTTGTTTAATATAATATTCTTATTTTTTTTAAAAATTTATTTTTTTAATATCATTTTTATTCTTATTTTTATGTGAGAGAGAGGATAAACTTGGAATAAAATATACCATCATAGAGAGGAGAATAAACCTTAGTTTCAAAATTATAAAGTTCACCATTCACATAATAAGATTTAAAAATGAAAAAGAAGACCATATGCTTCAATGAGAAATTTGTCCTCATGTGGGAACTATTTCCCATCCATTTTGCTAAAAAAACTCTAAAGTCTCACAAGTAAAACAAAACTTCCGGCATACACCCCAATTTGAGCTGATTTCGAACTTCCTAACTAGGATCTTCAGTTTTTCAACTTTACGCTTCTGTCTAGGGCTGAGGTGTAGAAATATAGTAAAGTCAACAAGCCCAGACAATTCATCAAGAAAATCTCCTTTGTAGAAATGGAGAACCTTGTCTGTCATTTCATGCAAGTCTTGAATGACAGTTACCTTTCTCTTGAAATTCTTGTCTTTCTATAGTGCTCGCTCTATTGATTCATAGAACACATTGTCCAAGCCCTTTGCCTTTGCATGGTTCCTCACGCTTGGTACTCTGCTCAAGATCCGCCTCATAATCGTGCGAGAAGTATCCATCCTTAAGAATTTCGGGAATTGTTTGTTGTAGTCAAAATTGCTAAGACTAGTCACAATGCATGTAACAATGAAAACAAGTTCAGAATTAAAATCATGTGTATTAGGCTTTATGAGTATCTTATGAATACTTGAGACGATCTAGTTTTTTCAATTTTCATTTACTGGTTTTTACATTTTTCATTTGCTGATTTTTACAAAATAGACAATTATGCCTTTCAATCTAAAATGAGGGAGACAATACATAAACATGGTTCTCGAATGTCCATGTGTTATTTTCCTAACATTTAGTGCTATACTGCATGATGTCCTTGGTAGATTATTTGCAACCTTGTTAAGTTATGGTTTCATGCTGCAGGCTGTTGAGGAAGAATGTCAACTCTTGTATCTCATCTAATTATTTCATGCTGCGAGCTGTAATAGATTATTTGCAACATTCAGTGCTAATAGCTAATTAATTTAAAATCTTGTATCTCAGCTCTTCATGCATATGAGTTTCTCTTTATAATTTGTTGAGCACCTTTCTTCGCAGTTAATGTCTCCAAGGGACCTCAATCTTCATTTTGTTGCAGGCAATTGACCACATCATTAATTCTGCTGCAAAATCAAATTACATGTCTACTGGCCAGATAAATGTACCTATTGTTTTTAGAGGACCAAATGGGGCTGTTGCTGGTGTAGGTGCCCAACACTCCCAGGTATGGTTCCTTAAGTTTTTTTTGCAAGTGATGGTTCTTTACTTGCTTGGTTGTTTTCTAAACAAATGACACGTTATTAAGCATCATTGCCTTCAGCCTTAAGGTAATATGAGAGACATATAGTAACTACATATCTCTAAAGCATTGTGTAAGATGATAATTGAAGACTATTAAATTAGTGTCCAATTTGGACGGTTGCACACAGTTGTATCAATAAGTTTCAACCCACCAGTTGTCAATAAGGAGAATGTTAGATTTCTTTTTTCCTTCTTCATTTTCCCTAGGTATTTATTAGGGTTTAAGGTTTGAGTACCTCCAAGTCTAATATTTGATTTACACAGTAACGTTTCTTGTTGTGAACATGTTGAGTTTCTTCATTACTAATCTCAAATATGTTTTCAATGATAAAATTCTAAATCAGCGACACACATAACCATTGATGACATATATGGAATGTCATGTAGTGTTTCGCAGCATGGTATGACGCCTGTGCTGGTTTGAAAGTGCTGGCCCCATACTCATCTGAAGATGCTCTTGAACTGCTAAAAGCTACCATTAGAGACCCTGATCCTATTGTTTTCCTTGAAAATGAGTTATTGTGATACTCAGTGCATCATTAAGTTGTAATATATCAACCTCATCCATATATATCATTATTATTATCCAATTTGACTTTTGTGCTTCAGATATGGTGAGTCTTTCCTTTTTCCCTATTTTTGCAAAAGTTCTTGATTCCAGTTTTTGCCTCCCAATAAGGAAAGCTAAGGTATTTTTCCTTAAGATTATGATAGTTTTTGTGGTTGCTTCTGCTGTCTTGTGTTGTTATTTATTTTATCATGATTCACTATTGTTGTTATTTAAAATTTATTACCTTCTGTCTCCTAGGTAGAGAGAAAAGGAAAGGATGTCACGATTATAACTTTTTCAAGGATGGTGGGCTATGCGATTAAGGTTTGTCTATGAAACTTTATATACCTTTTGAGATGTAATCTTTGTCATTTAGATATATAACCTAACGTTGCTTGTTCCATGGCAGGACAGTGCTTTTGCTTGTCTGTGCCTCATTATTTAATTCAAATATGTTAGAAATGGAATTTTTAAATTTGGTGACACCACTAATACTCTAGAATTTTTGGACATCATACAACTTGAACGTACAAGTACAACTTTAATAAGGAAATCTTTGGTAAGCCTAAACACTTTCTCTCACAATTTTTAATTACAACAAAGGCTCCTTGTTAGTTTGAGAAGCTACCTATTAGATTTTTAGAGTAAAAAATATGCAATGTGTTAAAAGAATACAATATTATATTAAGGTTTCTAATAACGAGGAAGGTGTTGCTTCAGAAATATTTACCAGATCTCTAATGAGTAATGAAATGGAGATATCTAATGCATGTGGAAATGGAGATCAAGATAGTCTTCTAGGAGAGCAACAATAAGTAAGTAGCACTTGTAATGTGACTAAAATCACATGCTGTAACATTTGGAAAAATGACTGCAAAACTGCTAGATCTTGCTGTTGAATAGTTTGATATACATTGTTGTGCCATTTCCTAGCAGCTTAAATTTTTGGGGCAGTTAGTAAGTTAACATGGCATCAGAGCTCAATTTTGGTAGACGTCTTGGGTCCCCATTTGCATTCTTTCTTCTCTTGCTTGCATTCAAAACTCTCTATGATAGTTTGTTTGCATCCCTATGTGCAAGAAAGATGAGGTTGCATGCGAGGGAGGCTGTTGAATAGCTTGATATACATTGTTAGATCCATTTCCTAACAGTTTTAAGTTTTGGGGACAAGTGGTAACCTAACATTTCCAATACAAGAATGGCCTTTAAGGCAGAATCAGTGACGTAGCAAGTTCCATGCAGTCCATTACTGGACTTGCCATTTTCATGTTGTGTGTGTGTTAGCATGTAAATGGATTGTAGTGTAACTATGATCACTATTTTGTTAATACCTAGCTCTGAGCTGTCCAGTAGTTGTTACCTTAATATGGATAAAGGGATCAACCTTTTGTAGTCTCATAGCTAAATTGCAACATAGTGCCAGGATCTACATTGCAGAGGGTAAATGCAGATTCAGATGGCTATCTTGATTAGTTTTCTCTTGATGCTATGGATGGTGCTGAAAATTGTTCATTACGAACAGAAGAAACAAGCCAAACTTGTAGTTGCTAGGTGCTCTGTATACTGTTATGAGTAGCAGTAGTAGTTTGACAAGGTTCTTTTACAAACTGTTTGGTTCATGGTATGTCAAATGGTCTACGTTACTCTTAGGTCCTGCCTATTCTAAATTCAACATTGCAGTAACGGCCTCTCTATTGAATTCATTCTCTACAAAGTTATTTTTTATGTCTTTGGAATTCAAATATGAATTTAAGAAAATTTGAGACCTTTGTATGGCCGATTTATTATGAGTTTGGTTTTATAATTTGAATATTTTTTTTTTCATAAAAAATATTGTGTAATTTTGTGTGTATTATTTACAAAAAAAAAAAATTAGATTAATTTGATAATCATGACTTATTATTCGTTGCAATGAAATTCCTCTTTCATGCTTTACTTTCTCTCTTATTTTAGCCCTTTGTCCTTTTCTTTTAATTATGTTGTGAGGAAAAAAGTATTGAACATACCAATTTACATTGGCACCCCTATGATAGAAGATTTATTTAGTGCTCATATATTCATTTAGTGCTCAAATTGTGTCATTTTGAACTATTAATTTGCAAAAATGCCCACTTAAACTATTGACATCAGTTCATTTTACAACATTTTATGAGGTTAATATTTTTAACCGAATAGCATACCTGTCAGCACACACGTGACTAATTTAGGCTATTGATTCACTTTTATCCATAGTGAGTACACAAATATTTGGATAAATGCAACAAAACAAAATCAATTATTTTTAAAATACTCAATAAAATACAGAAAAACACAAATATGACCTATAGGAATAGATGGTACGCACGTAGGTTGGGAGTTAGAGTAAAAAATGCCTTAAACTTAGTCCAAAAAAGGTGTTCAGGGGGCGAAAATACAAAACAGCTTCCCAAACAATGTTGTGATGTAACGCTAACTTTCTCGTGCCAAATATGACCTGCAGGAACAGACGGTACGTTAATAGGACACATAGGTTGGGAGTTAGAGTCGAAAATGCCTTAAACTTAGTCGAGAAAAGGCGTTCAGGGGGCGAAAATACAAAACAACCCCCCAACCAATGTTATGATGTAACGGCCAGCTTCCCCTTGCCAAATATGACTTATAGGAATAGATGGTACGTAAATAGGACAGATAGGTTGGGAGTTAGAGTAAAAAATGCCTTAAACTTAGTTGAAAAAAGGTGTTTGGGTGGCAAAAGTGCAAAACAAACCCCTAACCAATGTTGTGATGTAACAGGCAGGTTCCCCATGCTAAATATGACTTGTAGAAATCGACGGTATGTAAATAGGACATGTAGGTTGGGAGTTAGAGTCGAAAATCCCTTAAACTTAGTTGAAAAAAGGCATTTGTGGGGTGAAAATACAAAATAGCCCCCCCAACCAATGTTGTGATGTAACAGCCAGCTTTCTTGTGCCAAATATGACCTGTAGGACCAGATATTTGCATTTGTAATGGTTATTACGAGTGTTTCCTTTATTTTTGTCCTGCGTTTGTTGTTTCCTGACTAGCTTTCTTTATTTAATTCTCTTATTAAATTATCTTTTTTCACTGCGACTTGGTTTTGGAGAAAGTCAAACAACTTCATTAGTTGTTTCCTTGAAATCAACATTTGTCTTTAGAGGGACATTCATCATAATCTCATCCTCTTTGTTATGGTTTCTAGTAACTGGTAGTTTCATGATTTGTTTCCTGATCTCTTTTTATTTAATTTCTAGGTGTACATTAAAATGTTGATTTTCTTCCCATTGTTGAACTATTGATCAAGTCTCTCTTTTTTCTTTTCTTTTTTTTTTTAAATTCATTCTCATTGGTTATCACAGACAAAGTGAATTCGTGATAGCTCGTATTTATTGGATTTCATTGTGCTAATTAGATTTTGTAAGCCATGGCATTATACCTGAGGATCCGAGCGATTATTTGAACATGCGTATAAGTCATGCTTTTGCTCATGACATTTTATATGTATGGTGTCATGACAAGAAAGACATATGGACAACTTTGATATTTTGGTTTTTTTTACCTGATTAGGAGATAAGGAATGCAAGTGCAACTAGTGTTGTGTTTTGTGAAGAGTTGGCACCCTCTTTGTAAGGGGTGGTTCCATTTTGGCATTGTTGGGAGTGAGTTTTTGATTTATGTATATCCAAAAGAGATACATACCAACCCTACGAACCAAATTTTTTAATGTGTCAGTTGAATATCTGATATGTGAACTTAATAGTTTGTCTAATATATATATATATATATTGTGAGTTGGGTATTAACTACTTTATAAATGTTTGTATATCAATTATTTTATTGAAATGAATGAAATTTGCCTCAAATTCTTTTAAATGTTTAAATATTACATTTTCTGGTGTCCATGTGATTTAATATTTTTGATGGTTTGCCAATCATTTTTTTTTTTTTTGAAGAAGAAGATAGATTTTGTGGGTATGGATTGGCATGGATGATATTGGATAAAGGTCCACAATTGATTAATCTACATTTGCAATTTAGGTGGTCTTTTGTGCTCAATTAATTGGCATACTTGAATAATTTGGTTAGATGTTATTTTAAAATTGATTGTGTAATCGATTCAAAGTGAATTTGTTAGGCATTGGACGTATATTATAATTGCACAATCTATTGCGGCTAAATATGTATGATTTGAATTTGGTTGATATTCATCCATGATCCATTCTACAATTGATTGGCCTATAATCTTGTAATATGAATTCTTTTGTAATCAATTGATTTTGCAATCGATTGGGAGTGAAATTATAAGAACATTTGCTTACCAATCAATTGTGCAATTAAATGAGAATTAATCTGATAGGTACTCGGGAGTTTTTTTAAAAAAAAAATTGATAGGTACTTGACAATTTCATTACCAATCAATTAGGAGTGAAATTGTAAAACATTTGATCACCAATCAATTGTGCAATTGAATCTGATAAGTACTTGGCAATTTCACATGCAAAGATTATCTTACAATAGCTTGACTTGCATGTATCGCAGCATATATTCTTTTGCACTTTAATCAATCTAGATTGACATGCAAATATCATCAAGTTAGACATATATAGTTGGTACCCAAATATCATATACATAGGTTGGCATCCAAAATTAATTTACAATTTGGGCATATATTAACTTGTACATAGACGGATTAGCAAAATCAACTTTACATAATCCAAATAGAAATCATCCAAGTGTATATTCATCCACACATAAAAACCATCCAAATTACATCAACCAAATATTGTTTAGAAACCAATTTTAAATTGTACATTAGTCTAATTGTTTAAAAAAAAAATGTCACATTTTATGTTCGGGGGCTCAACCATTAGTGTCCATATCTCCTTACTATAGGAACCTCACATGTAAATTATTAGAAATCAAAGGAGACTGACATAGACAAAATATATATATATATATATATATATTTTTATAGAATTGTCCACAAAAAGAAAATAGGGAATGCTTCCAAGCATAATGATCTTAAGATAGAGTCGAATCTCCCAAAGCCAACTACTAGAAGAGTTTGAACAGAATCCTTTATAATTGACACCACTCCTGCAATAATTTTACATCAATTTAGTTAATTTCAATGGAAGAACATTTAAATGGATAACAATTACTAGAAACAAAAAGTTTAAATAAATGAGAAGTAGGTACCTCATTTGTAACAAAAGCAAACTTTTCATTGATAATTTCCTCACAGCATACACCATAACCCTACGTATATAACATTGGTTTAATTACACAGTTTTAGTTATAGCAAAATTGGGATGAAGCAAGGAATGCAATTCTAAAATAAAATATTTTAGGTTTTTAGCTAATATAATATTCAAAAATATATGTCAGCTTCCCATTTTGGCGACACTAATATTTGTTACAAATTCACCTATGCAAAACTCAAATCACATTCATTCAACCTTCAAATTTAATTAAGAAATAAAAATCCATCAACTAATCCAAAATATAAACCAAATACATTCAACAAAACCAATTTTTAATCCATTCAACAAAACATATCTAAATATCTAAAAAAAATTCAAAATAATTCAACCCAATTATTCAAACAAAATATAAATCTTAAAATACAATTTGATTACAGATTACTATGCAATAATTTATATCAAAATATATCTTGTTCCATGAGGCCATCTCCATTATATATCTGTAAAAGAATAAATATAAGAAAAAAACAAAGGATATTTAATCTAGCATCCCTCTCTAACTTTTAATAATGGAAGAGATCCACAATATCATTTTTTTATAGCCTAAGGTCCCC